GCTCTCTATGGAAATCTGATCACTCCAACAGGAAGTTGGATCAATATCATCATGCTCTTTGTATTAGACATCATTTTTCTATGTAGCGATCATGTCAGGAATACTTTTGCAACATTTCTTATTTAGAATAACAACAAAAAATGTGTTTCACTATAATAAATGTATTAAAACTCATTGTTTAGTTGATCTCAAATCTTTTAAAGTGTTGATTATTAATGTCTCATTGTGAGCTTGATGTTCCATTTTCATTTTAAAAAATTTAAGCTTATTAATATTTTCATTGTTTCTTGTGTCTTTAAAGTGCACATGTCAACAAACGTCAAAATAAATAAAATAAAAAATAGAAAAAACTACTTACACGTTAGGAGCCTTCTTGTAAAGAGATCTGTAATCTCAGTGGGATTTCATGGTTTAAAAAAAAAGTAATTTATGGTTTGTACTTCTTTTTAAGATTACTTTTTGTTTACATATGAGAATCTAAATTAATTGAAATATAAATATTAAATGAATATATTTGATTAACGAAATATACACAGTAAATATTTAGTTTTTTGTTGCCAGAGTTTTTTGTTTCTCTACAGCCAGAGGTTTCTGACAGGCAGTTTACTGAAGAATAAATTCACAGAAATGATATTTCCCTCAGGTAATAATAAAATGTTTCATTTATTTTTTACTTAAGGACTTTAATTATTTTCTGCATCTCTTCTATATGCCTCCATTTGCTGAGTAAAGATCGGAAAAGCAAACGTCTTCATGTACATTCATCAGGACACTCCTATTATTAAAGGAAACTATCTTTTTTTACTTTTTATTTTGCTTAAAAGTGCAGTTTTCTCAAACGACTGGAGTGGCCGAAGAATAATCTATGGAGGCCAAGGCCACCATTGGCCACCCCCTGGCACTGCCCTTGCACCTGATGGAGGATTAAATGATTCCCTTCACTCACAGGATCGGTCACTCTGCGCTGCCTTGGATAAGAAAATTAAAACTTGAACATCTTACACCAAAAACATTAAGGTATATGTGGATTTCATATTTATCTTCCAAAAACACTCATCTTAAAAACTTTAAACAGTCACTGTTCAAATCTCTCAGCGACGGGGGATATCAACGTACCACTTGTAAAATACACATATTTATTTGTAACTTTATGTTTTGCCCTTTTAAGGTAAATTCATTCCATGATTACTTGATATTATAAAGGAAAAGGGTGCGAGCCTTAACTTGCGTTTCCTACAGACATTTGCTCGTCGCCTTGGTTCGTTGGTGATGCCTGTCTGTTGTCGTGGCAACGAAACTCGTGAGGGAAGTGAGACGTTTCAGTTTCAGGCAATCTGAGTCAAACAGGAATAAATGATTCAGAAAATAAAACACCTGTGCTGCTCTCGTGTGGAGTCTTTGTCACACCAAAGATTTTTTTAATGCCATTTTTTTAAATCTGAAGTTTATGGTGTTCTGTTTTGCAAAATATAAACTTTTAGCATCGTAATCTATTTAGAAATTTTTAGCAAGAGACAGATCTGCTCGCAGTCACCAACAAAAACCAAAACACGGTTGGCTTGCAAATATATTTTTATTTTTGTGTCATTTACAGCTTGTTGTCTTACATTAACTGAAATATAAAACTTTTACCATAAACCCCCTTTTGCCTATTTATTTGTGTTTCTCATTTCATTACATCATCAACATGGTGTCTGCGCACTCTAAATCCAAGTATAATTATTGTCACAATAACTTCAAAAATACATTTGTGAACTGCTCTTTGTAAGAAACGAGTACGTCGTTGCATTTTATGATATTTTTGGAGAAAATAAATAACATTTCAGCTAGTAATAATATCTGGAAAGTGTTGCTTCAAACCTAAATGAACTAATCTTAATTACTTTTTCTACCTCATATCTAATAAATAGGTACCATATTTTTTGCTGTAGACGTCACACTTTTTGCATAAATTTTCAAGGCCTGCGAGCGACTGTTATACATTTTTTTCAATATTTATAATCCAATTTTTGGCTGAGGTCTGATAATTTAATTCATTCTGACATGGAAAATATTGAACACTACCATTTTCATCCACTAGAGGGACCTCGACTAGTATGGCAAGCCAAGTGTCTCATTAACAGGTAAAATTAGCTATTAATGAGACACTTGGCTTGCCATACCAAGCCACCTTCTTCTCGCTCCGGAACTAAAGGAGCAAACTTCAAATCAGCTGCATTTCGCCGCGCCGCTCAGGTGAAATGCAGCTGATTTGACCGTTAAAGTGCATTTATTAAGTAAAAGTTAAACTGAGACACATCTTTGCTAGAATTTTGAGCAAACATATAATAGTTTTTAAGTGTTAGTCTTGTTAAAGTTCTCTCATGCACGTTCCCGTGGTCGCCATTTGGCAGCCAATCATTTTTTGGCACAACACCGGCTCACATTTCCGGGTGGTCAGCGGTGACGCGTAACAAACGTGACACGTCAGCATTGACGCATAATAGATGTGACTTATGTGGCGAAGCGACTTATTTATGTTTTTTCCACTTTATTAGACATATTTGGACTGATGCAACTATACGGCAGAAAGTACGGTAAGTTATATTCAAAATAACTATCAGCTCTTCAATCAGCATCAAACACATTTTAAATTGAGGGAAACTTTAATTTATAGAGAAGTTGTTGCAGTTAAATTAGAAATGTGATGCAGCTCTAAATGTTTTCATGACAGCACCCAGTGGCCATCAGTGGTACTGCACTTTAAAACATTTTCTCATTGGCCTCATGTCTCAGACTCGGTGTCCACCTTAGTCTGTGAGACACAAAACCATCATCAAATAAAATCTGTTCATGATGCATCTTGTCCAAATTGTTACTTTTTTAATTTATTCTGATAAAACAGGTGAACAAGACATTAATGAAAGGAATAAATATGAATATTTTGTGCAATAGTCTTAAATAAATTATGTCAAGTGACCCAATCTATGTGTAAATGCTGCCCTCTTGTGGCTGTGTGGGTAACAACTCGTGTACTGGTGATGACATCCTTTTTTCAAATAACCAGTTAATTAAACCAGCTCCAGGGTGAATTTTGATTTAGTACTTAAATTGTCAACTTTTAATACAAACTACAAGCAATCCCTGTATCTCCAACAAAACCGTATTTGTTTTGTGCTGATGTTAAACTCTTTGTTCACCTGTGGAGAGACCAGTGAAGAAGAAAACCTTGAATGGGTCTTTTTAAAGCCGATAACTAACAGAGTATAAATTGTAGCATTACAGTAAAATGTGAGTTGTTCTCATCTTCTGCTCTCCTCCTTCCTCACTGCTCTCTCTTCTCCTCCTGTTCTTCCTTGTTGATGACGTTCTTGAAGAGCGTGAACAGGGGCATCTGGCTGCGTTCGTCCCAGCTCTTCATGAAGCCTCCGTAGCGTTTGCTTGCCATGGGGGCCCCCCAGCGGAAGTGCTTCATCTTGTACGGGGCATCTTTTTTATCGTGTAGCTCGTTGGAAAGCTGCTCCTCCTCCTCCTTCGCCACCTTCTCCTCGTCCTCAGCAGCTGTCGTTTCCCTGGAGAGCTCCCGTCTCCTTGTCTCTCCAGGGAAAAGCTCAGCTGACTCTTCCTCGCCACTGCTCCCTGTGAAGACTTTGATCGGGCGGCGCTTTCGCCCAGCAGGCTTCCCCCAGCGGAAATGCTCCATGGAGTAGGAGCGTTTGGCCTGAGGTGACATCGAGGGTACGGAGGTCAAAACATAAAGTGGGTCTGATGAAGAAAGAGGCTGAAGGTGGACGTTGGCGAGGACCATGGTCATCTTGTGTGAGTCAGAGTGACAGAGCTGGAGGCACTCCTGCAAGACGGAGAAGAGAAGATGTGATCAAAGCCTCATTGAACTGAGCAAACAAAGAGGAAACCAACATAAGTGAGACGGGTGCCTGAAGACGTTACTGGTGTGATCACTGCTTCTTCTGGTGTGTAGACTAGGACACCATACTCCTACCAGGGTTGAGTCAGGTCCTCTGGACATGTTCTTTGTTGAAACGTTTCTCATTTGATCCAAAAAACTTCTTCAGTTTGAGGAACTGCAGCAAACAGTTTAATAAGCAGAACCTTTGCGTAGTACTCAACCCTCTGTGAATAACAAACAGCTGTCAAGGCACTAACAATCCATCGTTAGGCTGATGGTCCTCCTTTTGTACGTGAACGACTTCAACTCAATTCAGTTCAATTCAGTTTACTGGGGGTTTTTTGCGCCAAGTCACAACAGAAGTTATCGCAGAGCACTGAACAAAAGCATTCAATGCCTATTAGTAAATCTATCTAAGGAAGGAAACCAGCAGATTGTGTTGAGTCTTCATTTCGTTGCAGTCTCCAATCCTGAGCTAGCACAAAGGAGACAGTGGGAAGGAAAAACTCCCTTTTTACAGGAAGAAACCTCCAGCAGAACCAGGCTCAGGATGAGCGACCATCTGCTTAGACCGGTTGGGTTGGAGAGGAGCAGGAAGGAGAAACTGTTCTGGCTGTCAGCAGCAAACTGGTTGATCCACTGTGAGGAGGTGCCACTTATAAGACTGAGTTGGATGCAGCTCCTCAGACTGAAGAAGTCTTTTGGATAAAAGACGAACCGTTTCAACAAAGAAGAATCCATCCAGAGAACCTGACTCAACCTTGTTAGATTTAAACCTGGATTATTGAGCATGCATCCAGAGATTTGACATGTTTAAATGGTTCAGAATATTGAATACCAGTATATATATTTATATATATTAAAAGAAGGAAGCTGCTTTTGTGTGAAACAAATACTGTAACTTAGTGTTGTGTTCAAGACCACCTAACCCGAGACCAAGTCAAGACCAAGACTTTTAGGGTTCAAGACCAAGTCGAGACCAAGACCTCAAATAAAATACATAAAATATTACATTTTATTATAAAATATTTGTATAAAAGTTACATACTGCAACTTTAAGTTTGCTTTTGAATGAATATATCAACTTTTCATAAATTTTCAAAGCTACATAACAAAGAAATCAGACATTCAGTGGCCTAACTTCATGTGACTGAACAATAAAATTACACAACTGTTAAATTGGAAACAGTTTCATCACATGCCAAGTCTTAAAAAACTGCAGAGGCAAAACAATCTTGATAAGTCCAAACTCAAGACTAAGGATAATCATATAGTTGCATTAGTTACAAATATATTCTTTGTGAATTAAATAGGCAAATTTTATAACTGATTATATGGCAGACACCTTCTCCTGCGCCCAGACAATCCAGTTGCCAGATAAAGTCGAGGTTTTACAGCCAAAAAATCTGTTAAAAACCACCATATCTGACAAAAATCTGCCCAATCAATATATTATGGGGGCCGAGATGGTGTAGAGGCAGGGCAGCCGGCTTGGGACCCAAAAGTCCCAGGTTCGATCCCCAGTCACTGCACATCACGTGGTGTCTTTGGGCAGCACACCTCATCCCCAAAAGCCTCCCGGGCGCTTTCAATAGCTGCCCACTGCACCACCTGGTTGTGGATGGGTTAAATGCAGAGACTAATTTTGCCATTGTATGGAAACATACAGTGCTGACATTGTGATGACATTATTATTATTATTATTATTACAGTAAATTTACTGTTTGAACATGAACGCACATCAGGACGAGCCAAGGTAATTTAACAATATGTGGCAGAATGCAACAATCCAACAAAAATCTTCCCAGAGTTCCCAGCAAAATCAGAATGAAAACCGCTCAATTGGCAGTAAACCGCCCAATCTGGCCACACTGGGAGTGACACGTGTGAGTGAAAGTGGGTGGGCGTGACAGCGGTAAAAAAAATGTATTTAGCAATAAGTCACATTATCGCTTGGATTAGAACCAGTACATTTTGCATCCAATAAAAACAAAGATGTTAACAAATAAACTGGACAAGATTCTGGCAATTCAGTGATATTTACACAGTTGTGGACTTGACTGGTCTTGAAATAAAATCCCGAGTCCTCAATGTCCAAGACCGAGACCATCAAAAAGTGGTCTTGAGACCGATCTTAAGACCAAGACTGGTCTTGAGTACTACAACACTACTGTAACTACAAACTAATGTTGAATCAGGTTTGGTAGTGACAGTGTTGTTTTATAAAACATTGTTGTCCATCCATCATCTTTATCCGTTATTCCTTTTTGTTTCACGAGGGTCACTGGTGCTCATATCCTGCAGTCACTGTGCGAGAGGCGGGGGACACCCTGGACAGGTCTCCAGTCCGTAAGGGACGCATAGAGACAAACAACTATTCACCCTTGCACTCACACCTAGGGACAATTTAGAGTTACCAGTCAGCCCAACATGCATGTTTGTGGTCTGTGGGAGGAAACCGGAGTACCCGGAGAAAACCCACGCAGCACGGAGAGAACATGCAAACTCCACCCAGAAAGGCCCAGCCAGGGTTCGATCCAGTGACCTTCTTGCTAAGGGGCGGCAGCTTTACCAACTGCGCCACCGTGCCACCATTAAACATTGTTGTTACTTTTAAAAGGTATATTAATGTATTTATTTCTGCGTCTAAACTTGACGTCATTTTGTGTCGGAATGTTCTGTCGTCCTGTTCAGAACCTGTTTGTGTGTTCACGAAGCTGCGATGGATCAGGTGGAGCCAGTGAATATTTTCTAAGAGTTCCATTCAAATCCACCCATGAGATAGTTTGCTACAAGTCTGGACTGTCTGGCCTGGGCCAGTAAATTTAAGAGGGGGTTATTGCCCCATGGTGGTGGCCCATGATCGTATTGAAACAATTTAAAACTTCACTGGGGATTAATTAGCACAGTGGACGTTAGAAAGTCCCATATTTTCTGAAGAAAACGATACAACTCACAGAGAGCCTTCCACACCATCTGATGAGGGCTTCTTTAACTTGACGTATCATCCCGACTTGAACCAAGTGCACTTACTCGTGCACAAAGTAAGGAAGAGATTCTGCTGAATGTGAGGTTTTATCCACTGGTAGAACAGCAGGATTGTGATTGGTCGGTGTCAGCCAAGTTTGAACCAGTCAGATGTGTGTGTGTGTTTACCTTCATGCTGCTGTCAGAGTTCAGCTCCTGACAGCCAGGAGGCTCCCAGCAGTGACTGTGCGCTCCTCTGGCCACGCCCACCAACACTGCAGCGACCAATAGCAACACAGGATGCATTCTGCTGTGATCTGTGGCACGTCTACAAAATAAAAGCCTGTCAGAACAGTGCAAGCTGCAGTAATGAATTAATTTGAACTCTGACAGATTTAGAATTAAAAATAAATAAATGAACCTCATGTGATGTATTAATTATTTTTTTAGACCTCAGAAATAAATCTTGTAAAGAACTTAACAACTAAACTGTGGGGTGCTGTTTGTAAAGTTACACAGTCAAAAATTAACAATTTTAGCCTTTCATAAGAAAAAAAGTTTGTATTTTTTTTTTATCAAAGTCATATTTTCACCAAGTTATTCCTAGATTTATAAATGTCACAGTTCCAAACTAAATATTTAGTTTACAAACTTAATACTTAACTTAAATATTTAGTTAGTAAACTAAATATTTTGATGTAAGTTAAACATTTAATTTCCAAACTAAATATGTAGGTCTGAGCTAAATATTTATTTAGCAAATTAAATATTTAGTTTAGGAATCAAATGTTTAGCTTAGAAATTAAATGTTTAATTTGGAAATTAAATATTTAGTTTGGACACTAAATATGTGGTTTAGAAATTAAATGTTTAGTTTGAAAATAATTATTTAGCTTGGAAATTAAATATTTAATTCACACCTAAATATTTAGTTTACTAACTTTAACTTGCAAGTTACGTATTTAGTTTGTAAACTAAATATTTAGCTTGTGGATTAAATATTTATTTTGGAAATATGACATTTATAAATGTATGAATAACATGGTGAAAATATATATCAAATACATATTTTGAAAAAAAACAAAAAATCTTATTAAAGGCTAAATAAACCAAAAATATTGCTGTTAATTTTTGACCGTGCAACTTTACAAACGTCACCCTAAACAGTGCTTAAAATCGTCAATAAATATCCAACTGGTCGATACTTTAACTATATGCAAAGGTTTTGACTTCCAAAATTAACTTTTAATATGGTTTGCGTAGCAAAATGAGAATTTTTTTGTTGATGCATTTCTAGATTTATTTTATTTGAAAAGGGTTCAGGAGAAGAACTCACCTTCTGTCTTTTGTCCCTCGTCCTGCTGTTTGTCTTTTAGTTTACTCTTCCAGCGAAGATGTCTTGTCTTGTGTCCACCTGGTTGATCTGTTGACTTTATACTCTTCCAGCCAAGGACACACATACGATGACGTTATTTCCTCTCCCCATCATTTTTCACTCGTTCTCTCTGTACTTTTTAATGGACATCAATTAGACGTCCTGATTTTCCATCCACCAAAACATACTCATCCCTCCACCTGCATCATCACTCGTCTCTCCATGAAACAAGTATACGCAGGAAAAGTTTGCCAACAGCAAAAAATGTGTGTAAGTAATGTAAACACTATAAAAGTAGAGTGTTTGAAATTTTGTTTTGCCTCTTCAATAAGTTAAAAGAAAAAGAAAAACTTTGCTCAGAAGTTATTTTCTGTGAGCCATGACAAAACCTGTCTTGATTTCTTTAGAGCATTTTTCTTGTTATTGCAGTAAAATTTATGCTTTTTGAGCTTTTCTTGTGCAAATAAATGGCAACATTTTTTAAAAATATATGTTTTGTTTTGAGAGAAACACGTAGGATAAAATTTATTTTCTTAAATTGTAAAAATAAAAAAAATAAAGCGTTCAAAGTGGCTCAGAAGACGGCAGTCGTTTTGTCCTAAAGTTCCACTTCAGTGTGCATCTTTAGAAACTCAACTCTGATTTTTAGATTTAGAAATTGAGTTTACGAACTTGAAAAGTTTTAAATACCAGTTCATATGAATTTTAGACCAGTTAGTGTAGATTTTTGCCCAATTCGTGTACCGTATGTTTCAGATTATAAGGCGCATTAAGCAAAACAAAACAGTCAAATAAGGAAAACTTTATTTAATTCATTCAGAATAACCACATAAAATTGGTTCGAGGTCAGTAAGCACAACCAGAATTAGTACAGAAGGCACACCTGATTATAAGGCTCACTGTCGATTTTTGAGAAAATTAAAGGATTTTAAGTGCGCCTTATAGTCTGAAAAATACGGTAGATTAAAAACCATTTTATATGGATTTTAGACTAATTCATGTAGATTTTAGCCCAATTTAAATAGAACTAAAACCAATTCACATTAAGCAGTTTCATTTATTTATTTATTTGATCTTAATTTAAGGAGAAAACCAATGAGATTAATAATCTCTTTTATGGGAAACTTGGTCAAAGTAGGCAGCACCAAGACCGTTAAAAAATTAAAACACAGACAAGACTTAAATGCAGATTATGAAAACAAGTCCATGTTTATGAATTTACCTCAAGTAATCTCAGGTTAGCTTTAAAAGTCTTTAGTGAGATCAATTATTTTACTTTCCAGTCCTCTCGTAATACATTATATTATATGCACTAGGCTAAAAATAAATAAATAAATAAATAAATAAAAGTGTTGATGTTGGTAGGCCTGTTGTGATAAACAATAAATTAATTAATTGCATGATAAATTAAAATTATCGACCTTCTTTTCATTTATCGGCTTCACTGTTTCTTCATGTCTCTCTGGAAACACTGGATGACAAAAAGCTCAACATCACTGACCCCTCCCTTTCTCTTTAAAATTAGTTTTAATGATACAAAATCACGTTTTTGGATCGTTAAAAGCAGCTAAGTTGAGAAGCTAAGCTACGAGCTAAGCTAACAGTCCGACCTCGAGGAAAATACCTCCGTCTTGTCGAAGCTCCAAAATTCACGGTTGAAACCCGTGTCCTCGTCTAAAAAGTTTTTCTCTGCAAAAAGAACTTGTTTACGGATTTTTATTAAAAGCTTTGTGTGAAAAATGTTATGCTGAAGAGCTCAAACCACACTGAGCAGCCGCCATTTTGAGGGCCGAAGAGAGACAGCCCATGTCACGTCAAAGGGCCTCCCTCCCATTTTTCTTTAAGAGACACGCTGCTCGCTCCCTCACTATCCATCCTTTGGTTCAAACAGTCTTGCACTGCCATCTGGTGGTAGAAAAAAGGTACTACATGCAAAACAAATCAACATTTCTTCTTAAATTTGACAATAATTACTAATTATTGTCAAATTTCAAACAATATTATCGTTTATCGCAATAATTTCTGCGACAATTAATCGCCCAGTAACATTTGTTATCGTGACAGGCCTAGTTGGTTGTTTTTAACTCATCGGAGTGAGAGTAACTTGAACAGAAGGCAACAAATAATCACGTGAGCGGAGAGAATAAAGAGCAGCACTTCTCTCTGCAGTCCGGGTGCAAACAGAAGATTTTTAACAACCCTTTAGATGAAGGCGCACATAAAATCCAAACGATGGCATTTCTCCTGACCAATACAGACTTTTACACAAATTTAATATGTATTTATTATGTATTTGTTGTTTCAAATGACTTGCTTAATGTAGATTTGAAGATGTTTTTGTGTACAAGCAGGGACCAACCGGGCTTTGGATGTCAATAAAACATTTTCTAAAGTGTCTGAAGTGAGCGCTGTAATCTACTGTGGATCAGTGTTGACTGAAAACTTTAACATTTCAGTTCTTTTTCTCTAATGGATCAACATGAGCAGCTCCAGAAGGCAGGGAGGTAAATATAAACCCATTAGTGAATGGCTTTGACCTTGAGACATTCAGTCTCTAACAGAGACAAAAGTCTTAACGAGGACAAAATGGAGACACTAGAAAAAGTCGGTTGACTCAAACAAATGACATAATGGGGCATTTTTTTCCAGAAGTCCTATAATCTTATGCTACCTGTAAATCTGTTTTAAGTTTATTGACTTTTAATTCACATGTAGCTTTTCATATATTTTAAAATTACGTCTTCTACATTATTGCTCAGCATGTTCACAGTTTTAGGATGTCCCACATTCAGTCAAACACAAAGCACAGATTCTGTCCTTCTACAAACACGGGGCAAACGCTGAAATGATGAAAACTCACAATTTACAAAACTCGTTTTAAAAGGATTCAGGACGCCCAACGATTGTCAGCACTTTAATTGAATTTAATCTAGTTTCCTGTGATGTCATCGCTGCAAACCCCTCAAATAATCTTAGTTGTACAGAAGAAATATTAACGATTGTCAAGCAGCTTTTATACATATAGTTTAAAATGCTTCACCTGAGCAAAGATGGGAGATAAAGATAAACAGCCTTGAAGCACGACGGACAAAACAATCACTAGAGCCAAGATTTTAAACCTTGTTTAAAAACTTCTATTATAAATCATGTGTGCTGTTTTAACTTTGTCTTTTGTACCTATAGTAATGCAGTTACTGTAACTTGTACTCCGCTACGCACTGTAATTTATTACATCTCAGCTCGATGGCTGCCAATCCTTTTAGGAGATTATTGGGATAAGATGTCATAGCCGGTGCCGAACCTACGCAAACACACACACACACACACACACACACACACACACACACGCACACACACACACACACACACACACACTGACTGTCTTGGTGCGTTTCCGTTGAGCTGAGTTCAGAACTGAGACGTGACAACAGGTAAGATCGTGTTTCCTTTGTGGAAACTTTTCATTTATCTTGAAGAGAACTAAAATTATAACAATAAAAAAAAAAAGACTTTTAATACATTTATTCTACGTTTGGAATGTTTTCCATGCACTTCTGTTTTTGAAAAATCTCTCTTTTCTTCTTTTTTTTAAATTTGCAAATCACTTTTTTTGTGGGGTTCCCATACTTTTTGCAGGGACTCGTCTTTTTTTTTTTTTTTTTTAAGCTTCGAGATCTTCATTTTGGATTCTGTGTTGTGAAACTGGATGTTATGAGCATGCTGTGTCTCCAGCAGAGAACCTCAGAAATCACCAATGTGCTCAGTGAAGTGACCCCCCCATAATCATGCCCTGCTCTGATGTGTATTTTATTCCAAATGGGGTCATAAAGGAACAGTTCATGGAACAAGACTTTACATTAATGTAAGAAAGTTGGGATGGAGTTAACATCTCAGGGACTTGTAGAAAGTCAGGCTTTGTAATTTGAAGAGTCGAAGAGAAACGCATATCGACTTCAGTTTGGCACCTGAAACTCATTGCTTTCAGTTTTTATCCATTAATTCCCACATTCGTTAAACTTAATCTGACCCCTACCTCAGATATATCATTTTTACGCCATTGAAAATCTAAGATTACTAAAAACACAGCGCAATCTGGACTTCCTCTTGTTACGATGATCTTGTCCCCTTATGTGGATCTAGTAGCTAAATCCGGATCTGGAGACTTGGGTCTTCTGTGGGTCAGAGTCAACAACTCGTGGGGAGGGAGACTTCCTTCATTTTCAAGATGAAGTTGGAATCAGTGCTGCTGGCTTTTATTTGTTTCTCTAACTGGACCTTTCAGCATGTCATCGCTGACCCTATGAGCTCAGAGGAACACTCTAATGTTGAGGATGCTCATCTAAAAACTCAAGATGTTCTGGACATGAACACCCGATCACGCAGGGATGCACCAGACATGCAGATGGAAACAAACTGGAATGTACCTGTTGTAACTAAGGACACCTATGAGGATGCTGACTGGCATCCTTCGACATCAGTCTTGGAAGCACACTTTGACCAAACCCCTGACAGCCCTGAGGTGACACACAACAACAACATTGGCACCGATAACCATGGCCCCAGCCAAACTTTAAACCAAACCATTGGCGCTTCAGCAACGCAGTGTGGAGAGTACAGCAGCCAGCTGACCCCCAACGGTCGGTGCCGACTGATGGCAAAGCTGCCTCCCGTGGGAACAACAGAGAAACGTTGCCCTGACATGTTCCGTTGCACAGACGACATCTCTTTTTGGCTTCATGAGAATCAGAACAGAAAGGAGCAGCTGAAGGAGCTGAGGGAGACGGTGTCGGAGCTGCAGGAGGAGCTGAGGAACCACCGGCATCGAGTCAAGGCCCTGGAGCTGCAGGTACTGAATGAAATGTGGAAACCTAATGGGAAGCTGTGAGTGGATGATCAGAATCAGAATAAGCTTTATTATCATAGCACCAAAATACAGTGAGATTATGTTCGTACAGTCGTCTGAAAGGTGGGCGGAGTGCACGTTGCTGATGCTCCTAAGAGAGCGGCCTCTTATTCTTTTAGATAGGAAAAGGGGAAAAAACCATGAGGAGAGGATGGTGGTATTACAAAAAAGATCTCTTCACACCTCAGGACATGATTTAAGACATCAAAAAACTACCAGCAAGCACATTTATAGACACATTACATACGCATTTGACAAGACGGTGAGATTTGTCCATGAAGCGCTTCCAGATAGCACCATAGTCCTGTTAAGATGTTGGTGTCAGTCGGTAGAGTTTCTGATAAGCCTTCACAGAAGTTCTCAGGGGGGTTGCGATAGACCTCTATCTATCTATCTATCTAAGTCTTCAAGGCCAAACGGGGGAGTCAGATTCAGAAAAGCCACAGTCGTTGACTTTTTTTCAGTCAGACTGTTCTTTCTCATCGGCCTTGAGTTCTGCTGGTACTTTTAATCCAAAATGGCCAGATTTGTGGGCATTCCACTGGTCCGTGCTTATTAGCTCTCTCCAAGGTTGTTCCCAACATGCTGGCGAGTCCCAGAATCTGCAGGTGGTCTGCGATTCTCACAGATTGCTTCCATCTATCGGTTTAGCTCGTAAATCAGCAGATTTTGAGTTCTCGAAGCACAAGCCAAACCTGCAGACAGGGTCAGCAGCTTTGCCATGGCCAAAATTGCTGCTGTCTTCTTTAATAGTCAATAACATAGGTATCCTCTGGTGCCAAAATGCAAAAACCCTGTTATTATGATTCTAATATCTTTGGCGTTCTCCTGAGACAATACGGAAAGGCACATCACATCCCTGATATATCCTGCAGCGTGCGCCTCAGCAGGGCATGAGGGTTCTCCAGGACCCTGTCACTTTGTTGAAATTTTTTTTATCAATTGCGTTGAAAGTCCAGCTGACCAGATCCTTGACAGTAGTTTACGTTTTGGAAGATGTGCAAATAGGAGCTCCGATACACAAGACGGAGAGCAAAAAAGCAGAAGGAGGATGGGAGAGGGGAAAAATGTGTCCGTCTTGCACGAGAACAAGTGGTGAAAAATGCAGAAATGATGCAGCTTGATTTGCTTTTTTATAAACAACCATAAACTGTTTTTCTGACTCATGTATCTAATTAGATGTGGCATGTCTTTCTAAATGTCTTTCAAAAACTATTGCAATGCTGAGATTTGATATTTTAATAGTTAATGGCTAAGATATTTGAAATAATGCGTATGAGTGTGTAGGATATATTGGAAAGACGTGAGTAGCATGCAAAGGACCAAGGTTTTTTTAATAGTTTTTCCACTTTTCCACTTTCCTGTCATCCTTAAATTGTCAAGTTTAGAATTCATGAGTATATAAAATAAAAACATCACATGTACAAGGTTTGTGGTAAAGATTTATGTCAAACTTGTTAACCTTAACCCTAACCCTAATAAAAATCAGGTTAAAACCAAAAGTCATTTTCAAGAAAAACATTAACTCAAGCCAGGTACTCGACATCGTTTCAAAGTTGCATGTTCATTTGACGTCCTCTGTTGCTCCTTGTACATCAAAATGAAAGGTTACAGAAAAATTCCAACATGTATTTTGGCTTCAAAGTTGACCTTCTGTCATGAGAAGTCTCACTAAATACACTATGCTAGGTTTTAAGCAACAGGAGAGGTGACAGAAGATAGTTTACATTTAAAATATCATCTTGAGGACCAGACGAGATGTTCCCAAGGACCAGATTTGGCCCTCGGGCCTCGAGTTTAAACATCCACAGCACATCCCACATGTGTCAAACTTAAACATTTCTGACAAATGTTTCATAGATTTTCTGGTGAGACTGTCGGTGTCAGATGACGCCACACATTCAGTTTTAACGATAAGCTTCATCATAGTGTTGGACTAAATCTACCGAATGTTTAAAAGGATTAAAGTGGAAATGCACTTTAGAGTTTGAATCATTGCTTTTATTACAAAATACATCATTTGTGCTAATGAAAAACAAGGGTCCTTTGGTTGTATTTCTTTGTTTTCCGTGCCTTTGTTTATCTCTCTGTCTAACTTTATCTCCCTGTCTTGACACCCTTTAAGTCCTCCTTAACCCTGAATTCTAAAAGGATTAGCAGAAGACCTTTTGGAAAGAGTACCAGTACTTAAATCCTTCTGAGTCTGCCTGACAGATAAACAATACTTCCGGGCTGCAGGAAACACAAACTAAGTCTTGTCTATATTAAGAGTGCAAGACTCAGGAACTACAACAAAGTACATTTTAATTTGCATATAAAAATGTTTCTATTACCGTATTTTTTGCACTATAAGTAAAGTTTTTTTGCATAGTTTGCATGCCCTTATGAATTTTTTTTTCCATATTTATAAACCAATTTTTGGCTGAGTATGACCGTTTTCATTCATTGTGACTGAAAATATTGAACACTACCATTTTTCAGCCGCTAGATGGCACTCGAAAAGTATGGCATGCTGTTGTGTCATGTAATAGGTAGAAGTGGATATTAATGACACAATCTGTTTGCCATCTTTCCCCTTCGTTCTGCTCGCTTGGAGCAAACGTTAAATCAGCTTTATTTCGCTGCTCCACACCGGTGAAATGTAGCTGATTTGACCATTGAAGTGCATTTATTAAGTAACAGTAAACTGAGACACACCTTTACTATGAAGTCGAGCAAACAAATAATTGGTTTTAGGTGGTTATCCTGTTAAATTTTTGTTAAAGGCCTCCCGTGCATGCTCCCATGGCTGCCATTTGGCAGCCAATTGGTTTTTGGCACAACACTGGCTCACATTTCCTGGTTGTCAGCGGTGACGCATAATAGATGCGACGTATACGGCGAAGCGACGTATTTATGGATTTTTCCAATTTATTAGACATATCTGGACTGATGCGACATAGGGCGGTGCAATGGGTACGGCGGAAAATACAGTAATAATTTATTGCAGTCCTACTGCACCATGTTACAACACCTCGGCCTCGAGGGACAAACAGCCTCTTTGTGAACATTCAATAACTTCACCGATACAAAGGTGTCATCTTCTGGTTTTACTGTCCCGCAGGTTGAAGACAATGTTAGAATAAACTCGACTCTCAAAGAGCGCTTGCAGTTTTTGGAGCTGCGCTACATCGAGACGGACACTCTGCTTCAGGTGCACGGAGCTCTGCTGTACGAACTGCAGGCACAGCTCCGCAACCTGTCGGCCTCCGTGCAGCACATGACCCAAAACACGGGCTGCACCATCAACGTCATCAGAGCTCCGCCGCCTCTCAGCATGAGAGACGCACTGCCACCAGGTACACACGCAACTGTCACGGTGGTGAGTTTAGTGAGTTTCATGATGTCTCACTGACAGCACACGTCTTATTTTAACACGAGCATTAAAAATGCATGTTATAAATATGCTGTTTGTTTTGGACAGACAACATCTAAGTAACTGCAGTCATGACCTAATCCTGCTCTGACCAGCCGAGATTGAAGCTGTTGTAAAGTTTTACACACAGATGGCAGCAGTGTTGGTTTATGTCCCACAAACAAAATTATTTTTTTGTCCATTTTTCATCCATCCATTATCTTTACCCGCTTCTTCCATTTTTGGGTCACGGGGTCACCGGTACCCATGTCCAGCAATCACTGTGCGAGGGGCGGGGTACACCCTGGACAGGTCGCAAGTCCATCACAGGGACACACAGAGACAAACAAGCATTCACTCTCTTTCACACCTAGGGACAATTTAGAGTTACCAATCAGCCTAACATGCATGTTTTTTTGTCTGTGGGAGGAAACCGGAGTACCTGGAGAAAACCCACGCATGCACGAAGAGAACATGCAAACTCCACCCAGAAAGGCCTCCGGACCGGGATTTGAACCAAGGACCTGCTCGCTGAGAGGCAGCAGCTCTACCAGTTGCACCACCGTGCTGCCCATTTTTCATCAGTTCATTAAGTTTTTGGACATGCATGTCCTCTTGTAACCATCAGATGGTGCTGCAGCACCCTTCCCACCCTACTTTCCTCAGTCTTTATGGCAGGGATGGGCAACTTTTTTTTTCTTTTCCACAGGGCCAACTCAAGATATTTAAAGCGATTAAAGGGCCACATAAAAAATAATAATAATTAAAAAAATAAACTGGAAAATGTATTTTTTAAGACTGACCATCTATAAGACTTCTTGCATCACCAGGCTTTTTCTTGTTATACAGCTTAGTTAGCATGCTTGATTAAAAAAAAAAAAGTCTCCCCAATACTCTTTAAGAATATTGTGACAACATATTTGTTAGATTATTCATGCAAAAAAAAATTAAAAAGTGTTATATGTTTGCCTTTTAGTGTCATTTAGGTTCAGTCTAGCTCTGGAAACGCCTTTAAAAAAGTTTTAGCTCATTCCTCTAGATGTTTAGACATATTTTCTTTTCAATAACAAATTGCAGGTTTTCAGCAACTTATTAAAAAGTTGTTTTCTTTTCAGTTAAAGAATTTTTTTATTCATTCAATTAAAATAAATGAAATAAACAAAACAAATTCATCAAAAAGAAACAAAACATTGAATGAAATATACTGAGGACCGTATGGACACCATCTAAGGGCCATATTTGGCCCTCCAGCCACATGTTGCCCACTGCTTTATGGCGTCACGTGCTTATTAGCAACAGTTAAAACTCAGTTCTTGCATCTTTGGTGCGGCAAGTTTAAGACAAATCCCATTTTTACAGCTTTTTGTATTTGAATAAGTCACAAGAAGTCAATATTGTGTTTTTTTTTCACATGAATTTCCTTCGGTGGCACAGTTGGTAGAGCTGTTGCTTCTCAGCGAGAGAGTCACCGGTTCAAATCCCAGCTGGGGACTTTTCTGGGCAGAATTTGCACGTTCTCTCCGTGCATGTGTGGGTTTCCTCTCACAGATCAAAAACATGCATGTTAGGCTGATTGGTAACTCTAAATTGCCCCTCGGTGTGAGTGAGACAGTGAATGGTTGTTTGTCTCGTTTGTCTCTGTGTCCCTGTGATGGACTGGACACCTGTCCAGGATGTCCCCCGCCCCTCACACAATAACTGCTAGTTATGGACACTAGTGACCCCCACAACCCAAAAAGGAAAAAGCAGGTAAAGATGATGGACGGCTGAATCCCCTTCCTTTTTGTGTATGAAGCTTTCCTTGTGCTCAGAAGTTACTCAGTCCAGCTGAAGTCGAGTTCTTGAAAATGGATTCACCCAAAGACAAATCCAAGAAATCTCCTTATATTCTGGATTTCAATTTCTTTTGAACCCGTAGTTTTATTTAACATGAACTGCAGAACTTAGGTTTACATGAAAGTGGTGTGAATGTTTTTCCCTAACCAGACAAATCACTGTAATGCCACTTTAATTGGAGATTTGTCACTTTATCTGTGCTGCTGATTATCCATGCTGCTGATTATCCATGCTGCTGATTTCTTGCCTTTAAGCTGCTATACTCGTACCCATCTACTCACAACAGGCTCATGTTCAGGCTGCTGTTTAATACATCCTGTTATATAACATTATTATTGTTTAGCGTATATCTTAGATACTTCTATACTATTTATTTTTTTTATACTTTATAGTTTTGCTATTTTGGGGTGTCACCGGACCCTAAGTACACACTTTCGTTCCACCTCATGTACCACATGTGACACGAACGACAATAAAGAACCTTGATAACCTGCATTTAACTGTAACTGCTGTTTAATAATTACCTTAAAGTCCATGCTGCTCTTATAGAAGTGACTCAGAGTGCAAAAAGTAACAATGAACACGATCAGTTTTGATAATTACAGTCTTTTTATCTTCTGTCTCTCCCTCAGGTGGACACCATGCGTCCTACTGTCCATCAGACTGTGCGTCCCTGTATCACAGCGGCGTCCGTCGTTCTGGTGTTTACACCATCGTCATGTCACCTACCATCACCTTCCCCGTGTACTGCGACATGGAGACAGACGGTGATATGTTTATGTTTGATATGTTTTAGTTTAGAAGAAATGATGACGGACATGAATAATATGCTTCACTGCTCCTGAATATTTTATTTATTTCTTCTGATTGATTCTCTGGACTTAATTTGATAGACACAAAGTGTTTATTAACCATGTTGTGGCTTTATTGTCAGTGATTTATTTAACACGTTACATTTTTAACCTTCAAATGACCTTCTCTCCTCGTGTGATTATATGTTGCACCAGGTGGGGGCTGGACGATATTTCAGCGGCGGCGTGACGGTTCGGTGAGCTTTAATCAAGGTTGGTCTGAATATCGAAATGGCTTTGGCGAGCCTGACGGAGAACACTGGTTGGGCAACCAGCACCTGTACCTGCTGTCCAGTCAGGACCACTACAGCCTCCGAATCGACATGCAGGACTGGAGCCACGCCCACAAACACGCCCTGTACAGGTCCTTCAGGTACAAACTAAGACTAGATGGACAAGGTTTATAAAAACTGTGAAGCACCGTACGTCTTGTAAAATATGATATTTTCCCCTGACCTTTAAAGGCAGCTTTAGATTATTCTTGAAGAGTCAGAGTCTAAAACTATATTTAGAGCAGGGCTATTCAACAAAACTGCTCAGGGGGCCACAGTTTCTGAAAGCCAACAACTTGGGGGCCGGACATCCAGCGATTAAAATCATTATGTAATAAATCAAAGTTTAAAATGAGCTGTTGTCTTTTTAAAAATATATATTTTATTGCATTGAACCATAAATACAATAAACATTACCAAAACCCAAACCCAGAAACCCCACCCTCCAAAAAACAATA